AGGTCCAACATATTGTTGGACAAAATGTCTGTAATTGCGACTTTCAGCGAGTCGTGCTCGCTTGTGGCATTCAGGACCTCAAGACAGGGTTGGGCAGGGGGTGGTCTTGCGCATCGATGTTTCGAGGCTGGCGGCTTGTGGATGTTTGCTGTATTTGTTTAAACAGTGTGGTTGCACTGAGAGACTATAACTATTAAACATGTCAAGGAGGGCGTTTAAACATATTAAACCAGGCTTGCGCCAACTCCCGGAGTGCCACACATGAAACCCGAACCCTGGCGAATAAGTGCTCAAACCGCTTAAACCTAGACACGTTTGAATCGACCCCGCCTCTAGGTCGAGGCCTTTGCCGAAGTGGCACCCTCCGGGCCCGGAGCCCTGGAGGGGGAAGTTCAGCAACATGGAGTCGCCGAACAAGCGGGCCCTGACGTTGCCGGTCTCCTTGTAGCCGAAGCTGGATAGCCGGAGATCATACTCGCACTCCACCTCAACCGAGAGGTTCCGGACATGAAACTTCAAGAGGCCAGCCTCGGTGGACACGTGCGTCTCCTTGCCAACGTGGGCGTCCATCATCTTGATTGCAAAAAGCCGGCCCGACTGCACCAAGCCGTTCTGCTTGGGCCTGAGCACTATCTGCTCAGTCAGCTCCTTATTCGAAAGGAGCTCCTGCACCAGGTGAGCACCACTCGCCGTGGTGTCAACGGAGGCTGCCGGTGCTCCTCCCTGATCGCCTTCTACTTCTTCGAAGGTCTTGAAGGCCGTGCTGGCGGCTTTGGCGACGGACTCGAAGTTCCAAAAGTTCTCGAAGTCGGTGCCGAAGAGGAGGCCGCGCACGCCACTGAGCTTTCGCGCATTGTGCTCGCTGAGGCCGCGCAGGTGTCGCGCGTCAGCCACCCCAGCGGCCAAGGAAATCAGCAGCCACGCTAAGGCAGCCATGGCCGGGACAGCAAGGGGGCAAGTATTGCAGAGTTGCGGGTTGTTGGACTCAGGCAGGTGGGCATATCTTCATTGCAAGTCACATCAAGCAGAAGTCACGCAAACAACTCGAAGTAGTCAAAAGCAAGGCTCCTGCTGGCGACGGCGTGCATCGTGCAGCGTGCAACGCTCTGTCTTATGTCCCACTCACCGAGCCCCAACCCAACAGCAGATTCCGACTGCCTGAAGGTGTCAACGCTTGGAGAACTTGACCCACTTGCTGAGAGGGCCACAACATTGCAAGATGGCATTCTTTCAATTCCACGGTTACTTAATGTATGGTTTTGATCGGCTTCACTACTCTACTTTCATGCTTCACGCACTTTTCCTGAGGGAAGTGCAACTGGCTCGGTGATCTCCATGACGCTGTGGTGTTGAGCTTTGCATCAACGTCCCAGCCTCGGGTGCAAAGTGGCAAATGCGCATGCAAGGCCAAACTAGCAGCTTTAAGGTCACCACCGCCTGCTTCGCCAAAACCATGCCAGGCAAACTCCTGGTTCGAAGCACCGGTGGAACACGTGGTTGTTAAATCATGTTATATCAACAGCAGGTGACACCAAGGAGGGAGTGAGAGAGCGAGAGAGAGAGAGAAGGAGCGAGACGGAGAGAGAGCGAAAGAGCTTCTGAGTCATGGACACCAGTGGCTGCTGGGATGATCGGGAATTGCTGCGGGTCGGCTGCACGTGAGACCTGACAACTTCTTGCTGAGTTTGCGGGCAGTTCCTTGTACGCCCCTCTTCATATACACGTCTTGAAAGAGCATCGCATCAACTGACTCAAACCCAGAACAAGAACATGCTATGCAAGCAATATGGAAGAACCATGCCATGAACAAATGTAACCTAAGTGGCACACGAGCCCCAGGTGTGCTGCATAGTTCCGGGCAAAGAGGACGTAGGAACCTCGGTCGAGTTGCCTTACAGCCACTCCTAACCAGAAGTGGCGACGGCCCATGTGAGAGTTCTAAGCTCCCGGCCGTCAGAGACTTGCTTATTCTACGTACCTTCACTGACATGTTATTTACGCGGAACTTCAGCACAATTGAGCTGGATTACCATCCTGCCTCCTCTGCATCCGCCTCAGACACACCAGGATTGGTCGCTACCTCGGTAAACCAGTCGGACGACTGCAAATTTAGAAACATCGAACAAACACGGTGCTGCTACTTGTACAGGGCACTGCTGGCATTGCACATAAGTCACGTAAGCACAAAGGAGCGCGTGCCAGCACCAGCTCCTGGTGCCGCACTCTGTCCCAAAAGCCACACAGGTCATCGTCCTGAGTAGGGAGCCGTCCCCAAATTGCTGTGCTATTTTCGATCCAAACCCAGCAGATCCACGGGAGTCCTGTTCGATTAGATGTCTTTGAGGCCCTTCAACACCCGAGACGATTGCTTGTGCAGATGCTGCCTGGCATGGACGCGAGCGAGGACTGGAGCTTGCCCAGCAAGTTCAGACAACAGGAGAGACACCCGGTTGCGTCGGCTGTGTCTTTCGGTCCAGTCTCACTCAACAGGTCACCCGTCTGCCTCTGCGCCACCAGTGCCAGATTGCTTTGACAATGCCTTCAAAGCTGCCAATGTGCCACCAAGGTGATCCCCATCTAAGCTTCCCGAGTCCAATTGGTGGGCACCTCTTGAAGGGGACGTGCATTATGCAACGCAGACGGTGTAACACCTGGCCACCTCTCCGAAAACCTGCACGCTTCTCCTTCCTTCAGAGCATGCTGCTCTCAGGGCCTCGATGCCGAGTGCGGCAGCCAGCTTTGCCTTCAGCGCACGAATCGACCTGCAGAAGCCACGAGACAGGAACGAAAGCCCGAACACGACAACTTGACCAGTCTCGCAAGGAGGGTGGACCTCGGTGGATTGGACAGCCGCGGTCCATAGCTACAGTCAATGACAACGATGAGAAGCTTCCATCTGGAGGGCCCCTTCGCAAGCACGGTGAACGGTGAGCCGTCTCAGGCACCAGTGCTTCAGACGCGCCTCTCTCGCCGAAAGATCTCCCCACTCTGAGACACCCTGCAATGACACGCTCGGCCCTGCTATATATGGCTTCAATTTATGTGGCAGATGGCCCCAAGCTTGCCCCTGCAACTGCTGTAAGTACGGACGGAGAGTATGCGTACGCGCGCGGGCCTTGTCTGGGCTGGCATCCGCCTCAAGTCGAACGCAGCTGTCACAAGATCTCCAGGGTCTGTGCCTTCTGTCGCGAACTATCATGCAATGAATCCTGAGCTCCTAGGTCTTTGGTCTGAGAAGCTGATACCTATTCTGGAGGCATGAACGACGAGTCGAGGCATGAAGGGGGATCCTGAAAGCATGTCGAACAGCCTCCTGCGAGATCATCGCGCTCCATGTTGTATTCGGTGGAACCTACACCAGGCAGCGTGTGGCCGTGGCTCTCAAGGCTGAGCTGGTGGCCGTGAGCCTTCCATGTATCGTCAGGGTTTGGCGACATAGCGCACTTGCGACACCCCTTCCTACAACTGCTATGCACAGGTCGTCTCTCCAACTGTAGTTGACGAAGCTAATGCATGAGTCAGGTGCTGCTTGTCCTGGCTTAGAACGGACTTTTGTTCTTGCTTGACTATGCATGCGGTCCATGGATTGACTAGACTCACCAAGTTGAGAAATTGCAGGAGCATCTTCTCAAATCGCACTTCCTGCCTCAATTGCGTCAAAAACATTGAAGCCAGCGCCTGCCTGGTGTTTTGTCCCATCGCTGTTCGACGGGTGGAAAATCCAACAGGCAAATTTAGCCCGTCCAAACTGTACAGTCGCTCTTCAGTCTCACCGAACAACATTGAGCTGATGTGTATGGGAGATGTGATGTGAATGGAACTGCTGAGTGCGCGCTGCTGAAGCTTCTGCAGGGCATTGGAGTGACACTGGGAGCGACAGTCCGTCATTATCCGACTCGGTTTCACCCTTCTAGAGAGAGCTTCTCCGTCTTCACAGCCTCTACTGCTTCCTCCTCCTGGCCGGAAAGGTGCGAGCTTCAGATGCGACTTCGAATCTACATCTGGCTGGCGCTCCTCATTGGCCTCCCAATGTAGCTGCGTGATCTCTCTGCGAACCTCGGCTCTTCACTGACAGCTCAGCTAAGCTGGACGGAGAAAGTTCCCTTTATTCTCTACACGGCTCAGCACCTGACCCTCTGCATCTCATCATGGTCTGGGCCGCTCCGCTCCCACTTGGAGGCCCACCTCTAACAAGAATCGAGTCGCTACACATAGACACCTCAATTGCCAGTACACTCGCCACCTCTGGAGGTTGTGCCACATTGAGCGCGTGCCTAAAGCGCTCAAAAGGTCCGACAGATAGAGCTGGTGCAGACTTGCTGTCCCTGTCTCAGCCCCCTGCAGCCACGCATGCTCGGGAGCATCTTAACGATCAGAATTGCTTGCGGTGCAACCAGATGCTTGATGAAGGTGACCTGGCTGGGACAAAATCTGCGGCATGCCAGTCGCTGTACAGGCCAAGTTGTGTTGTGTCAAGCTGTCCAAAGAACTCTCCGGCATCAAAGGTGGGAGAGGGAGAGAGAGAGAGAGACAGATAGAGAGAGAGAGACAAGAGACAGCAGAAGCCTCAATAATGCCCTAATCATCCTTGCCAAAACGACCATAAACCCTAAACCCCTCAACCCTGAAATCCCTAAGAATCTACAAATATGGAAAAAATCGATATCGATGTGGAGCACAGGATTGTGGCTCGGTGCATCAGGCGCCACAAGGAACGTTCAAAATGCACAAAATAATCACGACGATGGAGGAACAAAGAGTTTTCTGCAACCTACTACTGCGCAAGGTGCTTTCAATATCCTTGCCAGGTTTAGGTTTGAATGGGTAGAATCAAGGAGGAGGCGCACACGTGGCTGTGGCTATTGCGGCTATAGAACCGCAGCATGCCATGAGTTCGCCAGCTTGGTACCTGGACGAATGGCACGTTGACCCGCGCCCGGTCATTCAACGGTCCTGGCAGACTCTGCACTCTTCACCGAATACACCGTGTCTCGCTTGCACGAGGAAGCTCTGACTGCGACGGTAAGCCAACAAGCCGGCAGTGCCTATAGGCATCTTGCAGATCCGCTCCCTGTCAGCCTGGCACGCAGCTGGGTCATGGCCGGACTCCGACAGGAGCTCAACTTCATGTGTCTCCTTAGCTTACTCGACACGCCTGCTTGAAAAACTCCTCGGAGACACGTGCTGCCTGAAGGAACTGATCCGTCGACAAGATGAAACGCGAAGTCTCACAACGGTCGCCGAGGTCTTCATCTGCACGCATGACCGTTCGCAGGCGGAACACTTCCTACCACGTCCCCTCACGATCTCAACCGAAGCACATGCACGTGTCGTCTTAGGTCCAGGCCCAGGTCGAACAAATCTCCCAGGTTTTCAGGGAGTAGGAATTGTCCGTGAAGTGCAGCAGAAAGTTCTGACATCCAGGATGTATTGTAAAGATGATCAGAACAGAACATGACGACTGGCAACTGTTGCCAGGTCGTCCCGAAGAGTGTACTTCACATCCGCGTTCCAAAAGTACTCCTCGCAGAAAGAACCGCCAAAACTGTCCAAACACTGACGAAGGTCGACACCCACTTTATCTTCATCGAAGGTTGAGCAGAGTCTGGGTTCAGGCTCCTCCACCTCCGCATTGGCTTTGGCCAAGACTTCCTGCTTCTCTTCGTCGTGTTCCCTGCACGCGTCGGTGCGCTGTTTTTGCATGGCTGGCAGTATGTTTATTTGCAATCTGTGCAGTGGCCCATGCCCATCCTCAACAACTGATGGATGTACTCGAAGAGGTCTTGTTGAATCTCATAGTGCCGCAACCTGGCTGCAAGAGCTTCCCAAGCTTATAGGATCCTTCAGGTGACATTGAGGGTTCTTCTAAATTTCGCGAGGCTTGGGAAATGCCAGACAGGTCCGGGACATTGCAGGATATTGCTTACCAAGCTCGGCTTCAACACGTGGCAGCAGAGCATGTGCGCCATCAGAGACTCGTGGCACCTCGAACCGCGAACCCAGCCGATGAGTTGGAGCGAGCCGCAGCTCGGCTTTCTGAGGTGCAGACGCCGGATCGCAGTGCAGAATCGCGCTGACGATGACCTACACTCCAGCTCATCCGGGCTGAAGATAGTGCATGTGTTCTGCCTGACGAACATCTCGACGAGTGGGCTCGTCGAAGTTATTGAAGATCGCTGTTTCAGGAGAACTCGCGAGCCGGAAAAGCCTGCCAGAAGCGACACAGAGGGCTGTGAAATGAGCACTTCTCAGGTCTTTGCCGGGGAGCTTGGCACAGGACATGTTCTGCAGGCAGGACTGGTCGTTGTACAACAACGCCAGCTCGTGACTGGAGTCGCAAAGAAAGCTGTTGTTGACACCTGGCTAGAACTTGAGGATGCAATGAGGAGCATCAACTCCATAGCCCTAAAAACAAGCTGGGGATTCCAAAGTGACCAACATCATGTGCGAGAGCTGCCAGCATGAGGGCCTCACGGAGAGATAATGTACTTTAACGGCCATGCTTCGGTGCATGCGACTGAGACTCCAGCATGGCGTTCATGGAGTGCAAGGAAGTTGGCCGCCTTGTCGTCGTGTCAGAGGCTCGAATTTCAGGTTGGACGATGTCCAAGAATATGAGCTGCAAAAGATCAACTAAGACCAGCTGCGGATACGCAAAGATGGTAACATGAAGGCATGTCGCCCATTTAAAAAGAAACAGAGAAAGGCTCTCCAAACCAGGGCCCGGGCAGAGGTAACGTGAAAGACGATGTGCAGCGAGAAAGCCACATCGACCTGCTTCGCTTGGACGAAAGAAGCTGTAGCTGAACATGCGACTATCAACTCAGCATCTGGCTGCATGGATCCAGTTATGAAACGGAACTTCCTGAAGAATCTGCAATGCAATCGTCGGACTTTCTGCGCAACACCCCTGCCTCCTCATCTCGAAATTGATGCTCTAATTCCTCGCATTGACACAACGACGAACGTGGCTCACTTTGAAGTGCTGAGACATTGTGAGCACACATCAGGGGGCTGCCCTGAGCTTGCTGGTCCATTATTGCAATTGTAGGCCGATGTGTTTTGCAAGAGCACACTCACGCCGCTCTGCCTTCACGAACTCACAGTGGCAGGTGTATCTGGTGAGACTGACCGCTTGTCTTTCGTTGAACCTCGGCACGCATTAGCAGCTCAAAGCTGCAGATCAAGTTCGACAACGGAAGCTAGGGCCCGATCCCCGGAGATGTGTCAAACATCGTCACCAAACACCGTGCAAGGGAAGCTCGTTGCCTCACTACCACACGCTGGCTCCTAGGCACATGTCAAACAATCATCTTGGCACTTCGCCCGATATTCAACTCTGCAATGTTGAAGTCCCAGGAAAAGAAATCATTGCGCGAGATCTCTGCCTTGACGAGTTGACCCATCCACCACAAAATGAGAACATGAAGGCTAGCAGCACGAAGCGCATCTACTAATACCATCTAGGACTGGCACTGGACCAAGCTCTTGTCCAATACTCTCCATCAGCCTGCTGAATCGCGCGAGTGCATAGGTGCTGTCGTCTATGGGACGGGCGTCGTAGAATTGCCACACTTAGCCGTAGCCAAACGTGCACAGGATGACACGGGGAGCTCATTCTCTTCGCGTTCTGCTTCAGAGTCCTGCTTTTGCTGTGGGCTTGTCGGGTCTCGCGATGTCACAGAGTCATCGACAGCATGCCGATGAGGGGCTGAGCGAGGCAGCGTGCGCTGATGCCTAGCGGCTGCGTACCTAATCGGATGGTAGTTTCAGAATCTGTTTCGGGGGAAGCAGAACGACTTGAGCTACACCCACTGCGCTTTAGCAACATTGCAACCATGACAGGCAGAGTTGTCGCAGCCTTCTAGTGACCAAGCTCTCCTTTCTTCCATATTCTCTCAAAGGTAAACAATGGTAAACACCTACCAACGGACATGTACAACCGATGTGAAATCACCAGAATACAAATCATAACCCCTGTACACGATGGTCGGCCGGTGTGAACGGCGCACGTTGCATAGTCTGGCAAGAAAGCACATGGCCCGTCACCTACACAATTCGGCATTTGATCCACTGCGACACGTGCTGGTCTTAGCAGAACGCAAACAACCTGAGTGTCCGGCCAAGCTGTTCGAACTCATCTACAGGTCTCTTTGCATTGGCAATCAATGTCAAGAGATCCAACTTCTTGAGAACCTTTCCGATGACCGCTGGAAGCTCAGATCAAATGACATTGGGGTGTGAGAAATTTCTGTTTCCGAAGTTGTCCATGATGACCGCCTTGGCCAGTAAGCGTACTTCGCGGGAGAAGCGATTCTTGACCGCGTCCTGCAGTTCATGCCCCAGTTCGAATCGTTTGCATCTTTGAATCTCAGCGAAATAGTCTAGCTGCAAAACTGAGAAAAACGGGCAAGGCGGCAGGACGATTCAGAGGTGAACATTGCAAGGTTGGCCTCTGCTTCCGTCTGTGTATTCTGCTGATTCGAATAATCCTGGCACATCTTGGCAGCTTCTTGCACGGCCAACTTCAGCAGGACCTTCAGCAGCCTGTCCTTGACGAAGTAGATCGCCATATGCTCCACTGCGTCAAAAATCTGCATAGCAGTAGAATGCACCTCGGCCGTCGGTTGCAAATGTGCAAACAGCTCACCAGCGACGCTTCGTGTTCTGTCCAAAGCACTCTCCGCTGCAACACGCAACATGCTGCATCGGGCTCCGACAATTTCCAGAAGATCTTCGACCGGAGAAAGGACCTTGCCACCGGTGACTTCGAGAATTCAGACTTGCTCTGTCGCACACTGACATACACAGGAACGTAGGCAAGGGCAGTGTGGGACACGGCAGAAGCGACACCGCCGGATGCAACCTGAGAGGATGTGAGCTGTTCATCTCGGGTTGCCAAGGTCGCTTCCATTGTCTACTTGGGGTCGCCTTTAAACCCAGGCAACTCGGACAGCGTGCAAGCTTCAAGGATCTGAACTGATCATCAGCGTGACACGTGGGAGGCAAATCTCCGCTTAGCCGAAGCAAAAGAGCAATCGATGCATGAGATCGTACTAGCCAGGAAACACGCACAGCAACATTAAACAAATTCACCTTGCTGCCACTGACCCAGGCTTTCCACTCCACATGCATTTCGGAAAACTGGCCGTCATGTTCATAAGATTGTTCTCGATGTCGGAGTGTGACTCATCCGAGCTCGTGTGGCCCTCCGTGTGGGGCCGCGCTTGTGGTGCCAAGCGGCCACAACATCTGAAAAACATGAACAACAGCCAAAAATAAACACTCTGGCGACCAGCAAG